ACTGAAGGACATTTTAGAGAGAAAGAAAAATTTTTTTAAAAACCTAGGATATCAGAAACAGTGGCAGAGAGGCCTCAATGAATGAGGCAGAGAATGGAATGAAGGAGAAAAGTAGACAGCCAGTGGCAGAAAAATAACATAGTAGAAATGAGGCAGAGATGGTTGGCTATAATCTCTAACATAGATGGCCTTGATACACTAACAAAAGAAACACAGGCGGAGTAGATCAGGAGGTACGATCCATCAAGATGCTCTGTACAGGAAATATAATTAACCTGAAAGAGGGCTTATGGACAAAATCAAATATGAGAAAACAATGTTCTATGTGACAGGGAACCACAGAGAAATAGGGGCAACTTGACCAGCACTTTCAGATAGGTTGGAAAGACATGATACTTTTGTGCAATAGAGAAATACTCAGCTATAATGAGGGAAAACCTTGAGGCTTTTGTAGGTAAAGGAACACAACTTGAGATCAAGTCCAGGAGTGAGAAAGTTTGGAACCACTTAGGTAAATAGCAGGTCCCCCCCCAATCTAAAAACTGAGGGAGTTAGTAGGACCCAAAATGTACAGTGTACCCTGTGGGAGTGAAAGGGGAGGAACTGTCTCAAAAAGGAAGGCAGAAGATATTGTTAATAGTGTATCAGGATTTAAAATACACATTACTCTCACTGCTCTGTTTAGATGGATTATATTCTGTTCCAGTTTTTCTACTTGTACTAGATTTGAGGGCACAGACAGCTATCCCAAAAATAGCATGATACAGTATGGTAATCATCCTTAATTTCCTATTACCTTAATTTGAAGCCCTGCATAATTTATATTGTCTTATTAGGACTGATCTTATTTGAATCTGGTTTGTTAGATTGCTGTTTTTATTGACTGATTTTATTTGAATGTTATGATTAATAATATCAAGTCTGAGAGTATAGGTAACTACTCTGAGGATGACAAGATTCAATAGGACACCCACCCTGGTTTGATTATTGCCAATTTTTGAAGTCTTATAATGTCTCCAGTGTTTCATTTTTATTAATAGTGCTATGTACCACTACATTCAATTATACTATGCCTGATGATATAGACAATTCTATTGCAGATAACGAGAGACATCATAGTAACCATTGTAGATCACCTTGTATTGGGGTTTTATATGACTTTTTCGTTTCATGTTTTTCTAGGAATTTGTTTTGTTGTGTTTTGCTTTGTTTTTCCCTCTAATACAGAAAGGATAGATATACATGTAGAGACTCATGCACATGTAAAACTTATAATCTATGACAACTGATTATATAATGCATGATGAAATGAACAACTACTTTGAAGAGACACTACAGTACCCAGTGCTGACTCCATAGCGTCATGATGTGAAAGCCAGCAATACTATTATCCTTTGTTCAGAGTGATTTTAGTCTGTTTGTTTTGTTTTTAATTTCAACATACGTGAAGGTATGGACAACTATTTTGAAGAGAATGAGAAATATATGACAGCCACTGTTGACTTCCCTATTGTCTGGTCTGAAGACCTAAAACGCCTTCATTATCCTAATTGGATCAGTTTTATACTATGTTGCTTTGTATGAATTCACTGTATGTGAAGATATGGACAACTCTTTGGAAGAAAACAAGAGCCAATATGATAGACTATAGTGAAGATCTCTGGTTCTCTTGCTTTGAAATTTATGTCTCTTACATTCCTTTTTCATGTTCTGTTTTGTCGTGTTTAATTTTACCCTCCTTAAAATAAAAAAATAAGATTAAGAAAAAAAGACTGAGGGGCTGGGGATTTAGCTCAGTGGCATAAGCACCTGCCTTGCAAGCTGGCGGTCATGAGTTCAATCCCCGGTACCGATAAAAAGAAAAAAAGAAAAAAAAAAAAAAGAGAAAGAAAAAAAGACTGGCAGCACTTAGATGTTACAAAAATGCACTTAGATAGGCTTTCCTTTGTGTACTAAGTTAGATTTCAGGTCTTTACAAAGGGAATCTAGGTACAGAGACATCTTAAGGCCAAATTTAGTTTATTTTAATAATATTTGGTCAACCTTATCTTAGATCATCTTAATGTATTGTTTTAATTTTGTAACACAAATGGCTACTTAATTTTAGAAAATGTATAGCTGATCATTTTTTCAGCAATAATTTGTAGCTTTTATTTATTTTTAGTTTTCTGTTTTAATCTTTTTTTTTTTTTTTTTTTTTTTTTGTACCAGAGATTGAACTCATGACTTCATGCTTACCAGCAAGGGCTTAAGCCACTGAGCTAAATCCCTAGGTTCTAGCTTTCTGTTCTAGAGTAAGGACACTTTTTAAAAATGTTGTGCTGCATGCCTGTAATCCCAGCATGGGGAAAGCTGAGGCAGGAAGATTGCTGTCTTTAGCTACATAAGTGAGTGCAAGGCCAGCCCGCACTACGTGTTGAGATCCTGTCTTGAAAATAAGTAAAGTAATCTTAGCACAATACTATTTCTGGGCATTAACACATAACAGAAAAGATGACTTGTTGATTGAAATGCTTGAAAGAGTGTCATACACCTAATTTGGCATTCAGATAGATCAAAGGAAGGTGCCACAGATTCAAAAAATTTTTTAAAAGCTGTGTGATCCTCAGAAAAAACTGATTCACAACCTTCCTAACATGAAAAGTGTGATTAGCTTTGATTGTTCAAGGATTTCTAAGCCGAGAGGCAACAAACTCTTTAAGGGAATGAAATAGGTGTTTCAGGAGGCCCCTCAAGCTAATGATGACAAAAGATAGACTGATCAAGGTACACTGATGCCAGCCTTCTTTGCACTGTCCCTTCTTCTCATTGGCGCATTCTCCTCTGAGACTTTCATTTTTAAAGAGGATGGGAACCTAGAAATAAGGATTGGCAGCTAAGCACAAACACAATTATGGGGATAGTAGGTGACACTTGACTTTTTTGGGGGGAGATACTGGAGACCTCAGGTACCAAAAACTCATGACGTCACGCTCACACTTGCCAGGCAGGTTATACCACTGAGCTAAATCTCTGGCCCCACTACCACAAATGTTTGAAGATAAATGTCCAACCTGTTCTTTCCCTAGTTAAGAAAGCAATATAGCAAAAAGATATATTTCTTTGAAATCCTATAAACATCAACCCATCAGACCAGCCTTAAGAAGAAATACTTTAAATATTAACTGTCTGCTATTTGTGTGACCAATATCCATCCCCAATGTTTTCTCCCTTGTAGCCTGCACTAGCTTGGAAAAACTTAAATCTTTGCAGCTACAGGTACCCAAATTATTGTTTTAGGCCATGAGATGTATGTGAAAGACAGCTAAGTTGAGGGATGAGAAAACAACCTGAGAAAGTGTTTACTTAGGGATGTGTGTGTTCCCCGTTTTCCTGCCTTGAACAGGGGTGTACAGTCTAAAACTGTCCTTGCCACCATGAAAGAAATGTCAAGGCGATCACAGAAATGATAGCCCTGCTGTTCTCTAGCAGGGACATCCTTATTTGTTCAAACCATTGGAATGCACTTTTTTCACTTGCACCCAAACACATTCCTAACTGTACAGCCATTTAAAGTACACTTTTAGGTCCTTTGTTTCATCATGATAATTTGTTATTCCTCCCACGAGTAGTGATATTATCTATTAACTAGAAAACTGTTATCCATAATTTTTTGGACATTCTGGAAAACTAAGTCTTGTTTATCAAAGCTAGTTTTCAGACGTATCTCCACCTCATCACTTTATAGACGTTAGCTTGGATTCTATCAGGACTTGTTTTTTTAGACAGGGTCCTGTAAGGAGATACACTGGGGCTGAAACTTGCCATCCTTAAGAGTTGAATAGGCCAGCAGCCTCCAAACTAGTATCTGGTTCTGAGCCAGTATCTACAGTACTTTATAATCATCTTAGAGCTCTGTTGCAGCCTGTTTTAAACTATGCATCTCTATATAGTCTGGCATCTATTCAAACGCTCCTTAAACGATTCTTTTTTAAGCGCTCGAAATGGAACCCAGGGCTTTGCGCATCTAATCACCCGCTGTCCCACTGAGCCCCAGACCTAAAGTCTGAATCTTCTGTACGGCTTCTCTACTGTCCATCAAAGTGCTTAAACATTCATCATACTGCTACTGGGAAGCCAGTTTCTGAATTTGTGCAAAAAGCTCTACGTGGATAGGAGAGAAAAGGCTCTGCGTTCCAGTTCCTCCCGCTAAAGGTCCCTAGGCCGGCGAGGCAGCCCCGCTTTTCCTTTCCCGGCCAGGAACTCCAGGATCCCAGCTCCCGGACGCCTCGCGCGGATCACAGAGGCGCCGCCCGAGCTTCCCGCAGCTCCGCGCACGCGCCCTGCGAACCCCTCGGTCTCGCGCCCTCCCGGCGCGTCTGCCGCCCCTGCGCCTGCGCGGCGCCAATTGTTTTGGTTTCCGGCGGGAGCAGAGAGGGGAGGGCCGTGGTGAGGGCCGGGTTGGCCCGGAACCTGGAGGCGAGGACGCTGCCGCGGGCGGGGGCGGAAGAGGCGGCGCGGCGGGGAAGCGCGGGGTTAGCAGGGCGTCTCGGCGCGGGCTGACGAGGCGGCGGCGCTCGGGGGCGGAGCCTGGTGAGCCGCCTGCAAACACAACACCATCCGCACCGGTTACGGGGCTGCCGAAGCGCGGGCGGAAGCCGGAAGGCAGAGGCGGCGGCGCCAGCTTCCTCGGCGGGAGTGAGCGGGAGTGCGGCCTGGCCCCGCGGGAGCGCCACGCCCCCGCCCCGCGCTGAGGCCGGACCGGACCCTGCGGGCCGCGGTGAGCGGGGGTCGGGCGGGCGCGGTCTTTGTGGCGCGGCGGCGGCGGCGTGGGGCGCCGGTCCAGCCTGGCCCGGGAAGGAAGAAAAGGGGCGCCCAGGAGAGACGTTTCCGGCGGCCGCGCTCTGCGGCAGCGGTCTGGCCGAGGGGGAGCGGCTTCTCCGGAGCCCGGAGGCGCGTGGGCGGCAGGCCCTGGCCGGGCATCCGGGTGCGCCCGAGGACGCGGGGCCGGCCTCGCCGCCCAGACTCCCTGTTGCCGCTTCGCAGTGGAAGCGGACCCTCGGCCCGCTGTGGGTCTGGCGTGATCGCCTTCGCGGAACCCTTCGGGGAAGACGAAGAATTAGAAAGGGGAAATAAACTTGGGGAGCCTCCCCACCGCAGCCCGCCGGGGACGCAGGCCGCCGGTCACGCGCTGCTGCTGCTGCTCTCCGCAAGAAGGTCCGCGGCCCGGAAACCACCGGCCGCGGCGCTACTCCGAGCCGCGCTGCCTCCGGCGACGCTACTGCTTGCTACGTCTTTTTCTTTCTTCTGGGACTTCTGGGACCGACTTAGTTTAGAAACGGCTGAGTGAGGACTTTCCTGAGCCGAAGTGAACGGGAGAGTTCAGTCAGTTTTCAGTCCGCGGTGTGGGTGTGGGGTTTGGCTGCTCTTGGCGTCTGGCTGGTAATTAGTTTTAAGCGTTCTTTGCTTAGATCTAGTGTAGGTTGAGTGAAATCACAAGAGACTGTCAGTGGCTCTTAGCTAAGGGCGTTGGCTTGTCTGTTGAGCGTGCGATTTTCCCCACAAAATTTTAGGAAGAATTTGTAAGTGATGTTTTGCACCGACCAGAAGCCTTACATAAAATCTGTTAACTTTATTCGCAGGGCCCGTAAGAAGATGGGAGAGAATGGATGAGTCATAGTACTTAAGTACACACTACCTAGATTTTTCTATTTAGCAGAAATAATAAGCTATTTCTTAATACCTGACATTGGATGTTTGACATGCATGATAAGTCATTAGAAACTCGAATGCAGTCTTCAAATCCAATAGAAAATGTTTTTTTCCCCCCAAAGATTTTACATGTTTACTTAGAAAAAGTTTTTTTCTAAGTTCACATTGCTAGGACACGTGGGGCTGGGAAAAAGGATTGGTCTTGCTATCATAAAATTTATGAAGGAAAATTCTAAAGTTCTTTCTTAGTCTTTTACAGTTTTATAAAGGGAGCTGACAGTATTAGGAATGACGGTTTCTGTTGTATGAGGAAGGCTTCTGCTTCACTTGCCTGGAATTTGCTGTGCTTAGGTTCTTTGTGGGAAGAAGTGATTATTGTTGATTTGGAGAAAATGTCTAATGAGAGATTCTTTCTCTACCCTACTCCTGTTGAATAATGATTTGTAGTTGTTTCAAATAATGTAGTTATTTGAATTATTATGAGTTAATAATAATTAACATTAATATTAATATTTGATATTAATAATATTTGAATTATGAGTTAATAATTATTTGTAGTTGCTACAAATAATGATTTGTAGCCCCATAGTAAGGGGCTTCTATTTCATTTTGCCTTTTTATTTTTTGCTAAACAAACTTTAGTTGTAAGTATTAAGTGGCAGCATGACTTGATATGTGTTTGAAGATCTAGGAAATACTTCTTCCCTGCTGGGATAGAAGGAATCATTGACTTGGTGGGAAATGAAGTCCCAATGAAAAAGTTAAGGTTAATTTTGTACTAGCCTACTTTTTCCTAGCTTTCTCAGTCTCTGCAGAGCTGAGAGGAAAAAAGAATTGATTTCCAAAGTAAAAGGATATACTATGTTCATAATTCTGTCAAAGATGAATAATTTTTTTAGCAAGTGAGATAATTTACTAATCATAATGTGCAGAATCTTATGCGTGTGACTGAAATTTACTTAGGATGCTGAGCTTAGTTAACCTGAGGAAGCCATGTGGTCTTTTCCGTATTAGAATGAGAGGGAACACAAGGAAATAAACCTTAGCTGTGAATTTGGTTGAAGAAGGGAGGTTATGCTGAAATTTGTCAAACTTGATAAGAGCTCTGCAATGCTAAGGCCTTATTATATGAAAGATTCACCAATGTGTGCCACGAAGCCTGGCCTTGTTAATTATTTCTATTCATCCACTCATTGGTGAATCTTTTGTATAACTTTCCCAGTTTGAATCATCACACCCAAACCAAGTCTAGAGATCCAATTAGTAAGGCCTTAGCATTGCATCGCTCCCCTTTCACAATAGTTAAATGGTATGTTAGATACAATGCATGAAACACATCAGCCTAACAAAGACTTGGAGACTGAGGTAAGAGGATCATTGTGAGTTCCAGACCAGCCTGGGCTACAAAGTGAGCTCAAGGGCAGCCTGAACTGCATAGCAAGTCCCTATCTCGAAAAGAAAAGAAAAAACTTATGTATGTCAGACATTGTTCTAAGTATGAAACGTTTCATCCTTGAACAAGTTACTGAAAAGTTTTTGTTCTTATTTTTTCTTTTGATGAGCTCAGGGTTTCACATATGCTAGGCAGGTATTCTAGTGCAGAGCCATGTTCCCAGCTCAAGAGTTCTAGTTTTAGAGCTAGAGGGCAAGTTGAGGCATGGAGAGTAAATAACAGAAGTTCATGGCTAGTAAATTGCAGAACTGAGTTTCCAACCCAGGTGATTTGAGGTTATATTTTTTTTTGTTTGTGCACTACTTGACATCCAGAATGCTTTGGATCTTTTCTGACAAAACTTTTTAATTGTTTACAGCACTAAATACATAGCACTAATTGAAAGTGCTTCCTGCAGCTAAATAGAGCTAAGGCCACTGCTCTTGATGGAGGGAGATCTATTATGGTTCCATCACTACTGTGTAATCAATTTTGCAAAAATTTATTCAATAATTACTTTGCAGTTCTAGGATCAAACCCAGGATCTTGAGCATGCGAGGAAGATGGTTTGCCCCTGAGCTATACTTCCAGCCTAGCTATCTATCTTACCTGTCTAGTCCTGGAGATTGGCTTCAGAGAATGCTGAACTACATCCCCGACCTTTTTATTTTTAATTTTGAAACAAGATCCATTGAAGTTATTCTAGATAAACTCAAACTCCCCAAGTAGCTGGGATTATAGGTGTGTACCACAGTCATTGGCTTCCTTATTTTATTTTTGATTGGCCGATAGTCGTATGTACCTGAGATGCAGTGTGATGTTTTGATATATACATAGTGGAACAACTAAACCAAGATAATTAACATTTCTAGCACCTCACCTCCTTACCTTTTTTCCCTGCTCTTAGCAATTTTAATACATTATTACTGTGGTTGCCATGCTGTGTAAAAGATTGTGGAAACTTACTAACCCGTCTAAACTTTTGTACATACTATAAAATAAAATATCTTTATTGTTCACAGTTACCCCCTCCCCCCTTTTTTTAGTCATTCCTTCGTTTTTCATCCATACCTCTGTAAATTGTTGGTAGACCACTTTGCACATTCAGTAGTGTTTAATCCTTTATTCTCTTGATCCTCTGGTTTGGGCTGGTTAATGTTGGGAAAGTTTGCTTAGTTTGTGTTTCTGTCTCTATTCAGTAGAAGTGTAGCTACAAGTGCTTGGCAAGCACAAGGTCATGAGTTCGATTCCTGGTACAAAAAAAAAGTACAGATGATTACAGTAGAAGCGTTCTGTGATGACTCCTTGGGAATAAAAACTAGTTATTATACTCCAAAAAACCCCACTATCTGCAGCTTTTAAAAAGGTCAGGGAATTTGGAATCACATATTTTGCAAATTTCTACATTTTATACCTTTCTCTAATCTTTTTGTTTTGCTTTGCTATCTATGTAGCTCATGTAGCCCAGGCTGGCCTTGAACTCCCTGCAGTCTTGCTTCCTGAGTCTCCCAAATTCTGGGATTATAGGTTTGCACCACTACACCCAGTAAAGGTTTTTGTTTTATTTTGTTTTGTGATTTGAGATTAGGTCTTGCTGTGTAGTCCAGGCTAGCCTTAAATTCATTATGAACCTCAGGGTGTTCTTGAACTCATGCTAACCAAGGTTAGTCTTGGTTTTTTATTCTTCAGTATTAGTATTCAGAATGAATCAGTAGAATTTCATTATTGTTATCTCCTGTAGCATTTGCTTTGAGTAAATGTCCTTTGTAGATGTATTTTTGTGTTGCAGGTTGAAGATCTAAATACCCTTTTCTCCCCCTACTTACTGGGGCTCATCCCTGGCCCCTCCACAAGTGATAAATGCTATGCCACCAAGCCACATCTCCAGCCCTTAAACACTTTTTTAAAACTTACTTTATGGGAATATGAAGTGACTAATTCAGACAATGAACTTAAAATTCTGAAATACAAATAAATTGAAAGATTTTTTTTCCTGCATTTTCTGATTTTATGGTGAAACTGAAAAATTGAGTTAACTTCTACAAAGATGTGCTGTTAGTCACCTTGATTATTTAAGGGAGGAAAACCTATTGAAATGATTTTGTATAGAAGCTGTTTGTGATTTTTAAGGCAGAATTGTATGTTGATAGATTGCTGATTGACAATCTTGCTTTGAAACTTGTGGTAGATTTCGCTCAGTAGAAGCTTGGTCTTTCTAGAGCAAATACATTTTTTTTTTTGTTTTTGTTTTTGATTTTCCTCAGTTACCTCACTTAAGTTATTTTTTCTGAAACAGGGTCTTGTGATGCAGTTCAGGCTGGCCTTGAGCTCACTTTGTAGCCCAGGCTGGTCTCGAACTGCCAACAATTCTCCTGCCTCAGCCTCCCAAGTGCTGAGATCACAGGCATGAGCCACCACGCCTGGCTAAGTTTTTGGTTTTTATAAGAAGTCCTAAGTAGGGCTTTGTCCACTAATAATATAGCAATGTGGGTAGATAGAATAAAAAATTGCATTCTTTGTATGCATTCTAAATTTACTTGTTCTCTGCCATCAAGCATGTCAGAAACTGTGACTTCAGCTCAAGACAGAAAAAGGAGTAAGAATATCCTTGAATAATAGGTCTGCATTTTATTATCTGAATTTCATTATATTGTGTTTGCATGCTTACCAGTTAATTACACTAGTCAACATTTTTTTACTGTAGAATATTTTCTTTTCTTTTTTTTCCCCCTCTTTTTTTTTTTTTCTTCCATTACCGGGGATCAAACTCACGACCTCCTGCTTGCAAGGCAGGTGGTTATACTGTTGAGTTAAATCCCCAGCCCTGTAGAATATTTTCTAATGACTACCTTTATAATGTAGAACTTTCCTATTATCTTGGTACAAGAAATTGGGGGCTGTAACGATGATTACCCATTTCCTCTGGTTTTTGTATAGTGAATCCTTCATGTAAGCTTTGGAAATGATATTGTTGCAATTGATCGAAAGTAGTTTGTTTTGAATCTCATCATTGTTGGTAGTGTAGTATTTTCTTTGAGACAGGGTTTTATTATGTTGCCCAGGCAGACCTTGA